TGGTGATTTCAAATCCTGACTCTATCGCTTATCAGTGGCGGTGGTCGTAGTACTCATACTGACAGCAATACAAAGAGTAGCAGTCATAGCAGCAACAGTAGTGGCGAATCTTTCAGATGCCAACAATTTTTCATAAATTATCTCCTTTAATCCTTTTGCACATGGAAAAGTTGACGTTTAGAGAAGTTAATCAGCCCACAGGGGCAGGGCTGGAGCTTAACCCCTCTCCTGCCCTGCCCCCTAGCTCTGTGCCCCAACCTGGGTCTGTGCTCTGTGCTCTTAGCCTCCCTGTTACACCTCAAGTCTGCCTTATTGACAGGTCTGAAATGCATCTTTCAGTTTATCTGTAATAAGAAGTCAAGAGTAGATAAACTTCGACTTCTTTAACAATGAATGCGTTCGTATTTTATCATATTTGGGAATGATCTACATGTTCAGTGAATTTCACCTGACTCATCATTCAACTTGACAGAAGCCTAAGGTTTCAAGTTGCCAAAAGATTTTGGGAAACTAGTTTAAGTAGACTTGGCATAAAACAAATATTGCTGAGAAGTTTACCTACAAAACATTTTTTACCCATGTACATCTATTTATTTTACTTGTTCTCAGCAATTAGGTTTAGGTTACTTATGACATTTCATTACACTGAGTTCTTTTTTTTCTTGCTGGCAAATTTTGCAACAGAGAAAACATGACTGACTTAACCAAATAAGCCCAGGTAGAATAAGAGTATTCTACTTAAAGATGATACTCAAAGGACTTGCATATTTCACCAAACCAAACTCAAACCAGCCTTGAGATCAAGTATTAACTCATATCACATGATCCTGAAAAAGCATTTGGGTTAGTTTCCTATTACATATATATTTTTTACATTTTATTTATTTGTTTTCAGAGAGAGGGGAAGGGAGGGAGAGGGAGAGAAACATCGAAGCGCAAGAGATACATAAATTGGTTGCCTCCACCACACCCCAACTAGGACCTGGCGCAACCAAACTGGGGACCTCTCAGTTCGCAGGCCGGCACTCAATCTACTGAGCCACACCAGCCAGAGGTCTATGATATTTTTGAGAATTGTTATATAAGCATTTAATTCCTTTAAAGCTAATAAGACAGAGCTCTTTGCAAACTTCACTTGCAGTAATAGTCTCTGGAGGTAGATATACATACACTAATACTAGATGTAACCAGAGACCTGACAATTCTGTTTTTAAAATTTTAGCCATGAGCCCTGGCTAGAGTGGCTCAGTGCGTTGGAGCATCGTCCCGAAAACAAAAGGTCGCGGGTTTGATTTCTGATGAGGGCACATGCCTGGGTTGGGGTTTGATCCCGGGTCTGGGTAAGGGAGGCAACCAATTGATGTTTCTCACATCCATGTTTTTCTCTCCCTTCCTCTCTGTCTAGAAGCAATGAAAAAATGTCCTCAGGTGAGGATTTTTTAAAAATTAAAATTTTATCCATGAGACAGGTACAATAAGGGGGGAAAAATCCACTGATTTATAACAGTTGGAATAAATTAAGTTTATTTGTTCAGATGGCTAAGGCTTTTTCTTATTAATATTTTTTGGCAAGGAGCCTACGAGCCAGAGCAGCAGTTTGGGCTTTCAAAACAAACACACGAATAACCCTCAGACTTTAAAAACAAATACAAGAATAACCCTCGTTTGCTACATTTTCTTTTTAGTCATAGGACTTGAGGATGGTAAAGATTGGTGGGCTTTGAACTGCTTCCAGAGTTGCATTTTCAATTTCCTAAAGATATGTAAGATAAGTATGCTTGCTCTCCACTCCCCAAGGAATTTGGTTGTAAGTTATGTGACATCGTAGGTTGACCTATCAGTCTAAGTACGTCATTCCAAATTTGCTTCTTTCCCTCTGGATATGTAGTTTATTTTACCTTAAAGGAGAAGGCTTTAAAAATTTATTCCCAATAGCCTCTGAATCTTTAGCTTCCAATTTTGCCAAGTTTCTGGTTAAAAGTTAAGTCCTCAGATAATCATGTCAGCATTCCCGTAGGAAAAACAAAATTTAAACTAGTCCAGATGCCAAAAGTTTCTTTTAGGATCATTTTAGAGCTGTTTTGTCTTTTAAAGTCATTTTGTCCCTTAGAAGTTTCTGCATATCAATCAAAGAATGCAGTCCTTTGTCCCTGAGAGGTGTGGAATCTTCCTCTTAAGGGTGGCGAGGGTACCCTGAGGTCAACTTAAAAGGAAACATTTAAGTTTTAAGTTATTTTGACTAAGTCGGTCTATTTATTTAAAAAAGCAAGGAAGGAACTTTTTAAAGGGTGAAGATCCCCTGTTAAAAATAAATTCCCCTGAAAGCTGTAGGGGACCCACAAAAAGACAAAAGAGATGATAATAAAAGCCCCAGGGAGTGAGCCAACTCTGAGAATGAGAGAAAAACTGTTTTTATCTTTCTTTCACATGCACATTAACAGCTTTAGTAAGATTTAGGTCTCTTGGAGCCAGACCAGTACCCAAGGGGCATGTGCCTCGGGGTTGGGGATTGGGTGCCATTTCACAGCATTCCTGGGTGCACAGAAATTTGTCTTGACGTTAGTGGGTGACCTAAGGTCAATCTAACCCGTTCTGTGATCAGACTCCAAAGGCGAAGTATTAAAACAAAAATGTAAAAACTCTCATTGATAACTTTTATATTGGTCATGTGTTGAAATGAAAATTCTTATATGGACTTAAATAAAATGTGTTATTAAAATTAATTGTACCTGTTTCTTTTTACTTTTTTTTTTAATGAGAAAATGTAAAATTACAGATGTGGCTTGCATTTGTGATTTGCATTATACTGTGAAGGGACAGTGTTGCCCTAAGAAAAGTCCCAGATTCTAAAAGCATTAAATCTAAAAAGCATGGACAAGCTTGGGAGCCGTGCACAAGGTCAAATTCTCAACAGCTAAAGGTGGTGTCCACTTCCTGCTCAGCTTCAGCACTCTGAAGAAGTAGGGAGGTCCAGGCTCTGTCCTGTGATGTCCAAATGCTGTGTGATCAGATGGTGTTGTGCTCTTACATAGCAAATAGAATTGACAAAAATCTTTCCTTCTTTGCCTCTTTCAAAGGCCTATAAATCCATTCTTAGCGTGAGGGTCCTAAGCTAGCCTGGCTAAAACTAGGAGGTGAGGAAAGAAGTGTCACATTTCATTCATAGCCCTGTACGTCTTGCTATTGAAATTTTTATGAATCCAGCCAGCGAAAAGGGACACATTGTTATGGCACCAGAGTGCCTTGGGGATTTGAGAATAGACCCTGGGAGCAGCAGTTATATGAATAAAAAGAATGCAACTGTGGTTTCCTATTAGAGTTTAGGCTACATAACTGGTTCTTATTTTACTTGATAATTTTTGTCCTAATAAGTACCTGATGGACCCTATTTTTTCCGACGTGCAACAAATATTCATTGAGCACCAACTCTGTGCCAGGCACAGAGATGCTTCAGCAAATAAAATAGGACAAATGGAGTAGATATCCTAAAGACACTCGAATGCTAAGTTATAAATTACATGGATTTCTGCCAAGTGTCCTTTACTTATGATGTGTTAAGTTAACCTTTGACTTGTAAGATATTTTATCTCTTCAAAGGGCTTGAGAATTTGCCTTTTTTAAAAATATAAACTAGTGGGTTTTATTTTTTTTTTTACTTTTGTTTATTTACTTTTAGAGTGAGGGAAAGGGAGGGAGAAAGAGAGGGAGAGAAACAGCAATGTGTGACTGCCCCTCGAGCACCCCCTACTGGGGATCTGGCTCACAACCCAGGCATGTGCCCTAAAGGGGACCCTTTGGTTCGCAGGCCGGCGCTCACCAGCCAGGGTGAGGGTTTGCCTTCTTGCTTTTATTATGTTTATCTCTTCCTCCCAAAAAGGAGGTGTATGTGTGGTGGTGGGAAGTGAGAGGGTAGAGCAGAGACTCACCCCAGTGCGTTTTCTTTCTTTCTCTTTCTTAATCTTTACTGTTCAGGTAATTTTCTCCCACAGGAAACCTAAGGATGGAAACACGTTCTTACCTAATTGAATGTGACCACCGCTGCAATTACAGTGATTTTGGAAGTTAACTTTAATAAAAATATGAATCCTTACTCTGAAAGACTTAAGTGCTTTGGTACTTGAATATAGCTACTCCCAGGTGGAAAACAATATACAGTTGACTCTTGAAGAACACGGATTTTTTTAAGTGGCAGAAGTTCAATCGACCCACGGTGTTTAAATCCGCATTGTTCAAAGGTCAACTCCGCAGTGGGGAATTCAAGTATGCGGGTGTATTTACACGTGGATTTTTGACTGCACGGAAGGAAACTCCCTCCCCCACCCGCGTTATTCAAGAGTCAACGTTACATGAAGAAAGGTTGCTAAGTTTTTAAAAGCGTTGTTTTAGTAGCATTAAATTTGTGGAGGATTGTACGGCCCTCCTTTGTTAGCTCTCATCCACTGGATTTTAATGTTCTATATCAAGGGTCAGCAATTCATGACAAGGATATCACAAAGTGCCCTCAGCTAGATGCCGGGATATACTTCTATTTACCTCTTTTGTGCTAGATGCATTGCTGCACTTCCCTTCAAAGGAAGTTCCACAGTGCACTTCCCTGCAAGGCATCTATCACTTCCTGTCTCCACATCCAAGGGATGCTAAGTGGAGCCTTACACCATCACTATTAGCGCTTTGCCAGCTCTCTTTTATTCTTGGTTTTCCAATTCTCAAAAAGAAATCCATACTATTAATTGGTTGGCTCCTACACCTGGAGCCACTTTTGTTTTTGAAGAATAAGGAATTGCCTCTTTATCTTTACCTTCAATAGGTTTTTATATATCTAAAGGAAAGTTACTATTTCTGAAGCTTACCTTATAACTTTTATGTTATAACATAAAAATCGCATTTCATGTGATCGGACTGTTTTCTATCAGTAAATAAGAACTTGAGTTGCTGAATAACTTTAAATATATCCGCTCTCTGCCTCCCCTTTGACCATAATGTTGCAATATATTTTTCAGGTTTTCAATTCAAAAACAGCCGAACTACTCAGTCATCATCAAGTGGAAATAAAACAAGAATTTCCAAAAGAAGGGTATGTTTCCTAATTTAATATGTAAAGATAATAGCACATTTACTAGCCCATCTCACCCCAGCTGCTCCAGGACTTTCTAAAGTAAACTTGACCCTACGCTGTCCTGAGAAGGCTTCACGGATAGGTATTAGTCAGGAAAAGGAGCAATAGCTTCGTAGCTCAGCAAAATATCTGAGTATTTGATGGCTTAGGAATTCAGTGACAGAAAAGAAGGGGATGATAAAGTAATAAAGCAAAGATGTATTAAATATTGGAAATTCTGCATTAATTTTGCAGTCATGTAGTTCCGTGTCCCCATCATTGCCAAATTGCTGCTTGCAGATTTGATTGTTTTTTTCTTAAATAAAAATATGTTTTTCTAAAAAGCATTCATATATCTTATCATCTGATACTAAGATCATCCTTTTTGAGAATAATATTCATAGGTAGTAATTGTGATCAAATAGAATGTTAGGCATATTATTTAAAACAGCTATTTTAAACCAGTGTGCTGCAAGAATTTTTAAAATATGCAGTACCTATTTCGTCAGGGGCACTGACCTCTTTTCCCTTAGAGTGTCAAATAAAAATTCACCATAGCCAACACAGCAATAGTGTGAATGAATCAAAATTACTTTTTTTGTCAGATTGGTGAAAAAAGGTGGTTGGTTTTTTTGTTTTTTGGGGTTTTTTTTTTTTTTTTTTGGTGTGCCAGAGTTTTAGTAATTAGTTTATGTGTTCCATGAAATGAAGAAGGTTGAAAATCGCTGATTTAAAATTTAATGATGTGTATTATACAGCCACTTTGAAAAAATATATGGCAGTTTCTTACATCTGTAGTATTGCACCCTCAGGAATTAATCCACTAACAGTGAAAGCGTACCTACAGAAAGACTTACACATGAGTATTTTTTTAGCAGCTTTCTTCATCATAACCTAAATTGGGAACAACCCAAATGTCTGTCATCAGTAGAATGGGTAACAGTGAAATACTGTTCAGCAGTCTTTAAAAAGTGAACTAATACAGACAAGAACTTAGAAGAAGCTCGTTGATATCATGGAAAGTGGGAAAAGGCTGGACATGAAAGAATGCATAGTGCATGGCTGTATCTGAAATTCAAGAAGAAGCTAAACTAATTGAGGATGACAGAAATCCAAAAACTGTTTGCCCAGGCAATACGTGACTGACATGAGGGAGATGTGAAAGAACTTTCTGGAATGATGGAAACATTCCCTATCTTCACTGGGTTGTTGGTTAGATGAGTATATATATTTGTTAAAACTCAACAAGTTGTGCACTTTACATCTGTTCATTTCACTATAAAGTTTACTTTGACTTAAGAGAAGAAAATTTGTCCTACCAAATTTTATCATTTCTTTCTATGAAAAAATGTTCTGTTTTAAAGAATTCCTTTGTTTAATAATAAAAACTATTGGTATGTTAGCATTAGAATGGCTATCCACATGCCTGATCCCAGTGCAATTTGGAGAGAGGATACCTGTGTCTTGGAAATATGAAAATTAGAAATACGTGGAGGAAGATTGTGTTTTTAGAAAAAGAGAGTTTAGGGACAATACTCAAAGCTCAGGAAAGCCAGGCAATCCTGAGGAAGGCAGAGAAGAAAGGCATTGGGAATTCTCTTACCACTTCCAGATCTTAGGGTAGAATTCTTTTAGTTTGTGTCATTTCTGCTTTTGGGGTTTCCTCAGTTGCCATTTGTTTCTCCCAGGTTTCTCTACTTCATTATTAATTATGAGCCTTTCAGCCTTCCGAGGCCGTGGTACCTTACCAAAATTACGCTGGGATAGGATCTGAAAATTGGACTGAATGCTTGTGTACTTGAAATAGTCACAAGAACAAATTTAAATTATTCCCTATACGCTAAACAAAATATTTTGAGAAAAAAATGGCAATAGACATCAGTATACTAATTAGACTTTTTTCAGCATTCCTTTCCTAGATAGATAAATATCAGTCTACTTAGAAATAATTTAAAAGAAAATAACTACCGACTAGTGAAGCATGTAGATAGTTGATCTATTTATCAAACCCACAGGTACAGAGAACTGGGGAACTGATTATTGGATATGAAAAAATGATTTAAAAATAGGTAGAATATTTGCTATTTTGTGATGTTATTACTTGCCTCCTTACAAATGCTTGATTACTGTATAAAGAATAATAAAAATGTAAGGGAAAGAAAATAGGTTTTTCTTTAAAACATTTCCTTAGAGTATTGAATATGCTTTGCTCATCTGATTATAATTTATACAGCAATCACACCCTCATAAGTGAACATTTCTAGAGATATAAATTAAAGTCGTATTGCTTTCTTGTGAACTAACCAAATGCATTCTTTTGTTCAAAGATGGGTGGAACAAGACCCTATGGAAATTCTGATGTCTGTCTATGAGTGTATAGAGAAAACATGTGAGAAACTTGAACAGCTCAATATTGACATTTCCAACATAAAAGGTATTTTTAATCGAATATTTTTCTCCATGGTATGATTATCTCAATCAAATTCATTCATTCATTCAATCAGCACATAATTGAGTGCCAATATAGCACCAAGCATTTCTGTAAGAACTGAGGATACAATAAATAAACAGGAAGATTAGGTCCTTGTTCTCATGAAGCTTTTACTGTGGTGGGTTTGAGACCAGTGGTTAGCGCAGACAAATACAAACTAATTTCCGATACCAATAAGTTATGCAGAAAATGAAACTGAGTTATACGGCAGGCTGTGCCTAGAGAAGCTTACTTTAGATTGGATGGCCAGAGAAGTCCTCTTTTAGGGAGTGACACTGTTACTGAGGTCTCAGAGGCCAAAAGGGGCCTGCCGTGCAAATGGTCGGAGGAAGAGTATTTGAGGAAAAGGAAGCAGCACGTGCAAAGGTACTGGGGTAGGAATATGCTTGTTGCACATTCCTGGATCAGAAAGAAGGCCAGCATGTCAAAAATAGAGTAAAAGAGGGATGGGGGGTAAGGGTGGATATTTAAGAGGTTTCAGTAGGAGCTGAAACCGGGGGAGTAGACAGGACTTTGTAGCACCAGTCAGGAAATTGGGTATTACTAGTATCACAGAGAGCCATGAAAAGGTTTTAAGCAAGACAACAAGGGATGACAGGATCTGACTTGTGGTTTGAAGACAACTCCCTGACTGCGGTGTGGAGCCATGTCAAGGGTGGACGGTAAAGGCGTAAATGTGGGCACAGGGAGACCAGTGTAGAGGCTGGTTGTGAGAGTCCCAAGAGAAGGGGCCAGAACTTTCTGATGGACTGGATGTCAAGAGTAGTAGAGAGAGCAGTGGAGTAGGGGGAAGACGGGTCAAAGATGATGCTTGGGTTTTGGCTGGAGCTGCTGGATAGGTAGGGATGCTTTTTCCTAAGGAGAAAAAGACTAGACTGTAAGGAGCAGTGCTGGTGGTGGGGTTGTTTGAAATCAAAACGCTTGGCTTGTAAAATCTCCCTGAAACGATTGAGAGTGTTAGGCTATTACAGACTCTCTGTCAATTCCTAGTAGGTTTACTAGGATATCTGCCTAAGTTGGGCTTGGCATCGTTTATACAGGGAGAAAAAAAGTAACCCAGTCATCCAAAATTGATAAGGTAGTGTAAAGAGCAGAAGGATAATGTGGTAATTGCCATATCTTTATAGTTGAAAGTTTCCAAGTTCATCGTTCAAGGGTTGGTTTTTTTTCTTCATTAGGTCACCTGACTCAAGGTGGGGAGGAACCATCAATTAGTGATGGCGGTGCCCTGGGGTTCCCATCATCTCTCTTGGCTCTGAGATTTACCAGCCCCCCTGAGATGAAACTTTGATGATTTTTTCCAGACCTTCCCCTATGTGTATAAATAAAACTCACTTTAAACAAGACTAAACATAATCAAAACCATTCATTCAGCAAACCTATAGGGCACCTACTATGTGCTGGGTGTGCTAGGGAAACAATGGAGCACAAATAGGGTTGTGCAGCTAACGGTCAAGTGGAAGAAACAGATGTTAACCCAATAATCACAGTAATTGCAAATTAATGGAAAATTGTAACAATGAAATAGTCATTTCTGTTATGGCAGATTTTTAAGAGAAATAAGTACGCATGTGTAGATTTGTGATTTTGTTGACAATGTTTAAATATCCTACCCTCACTTTATCCCTACAACTAAGCGGAAGTGTTTCAACCATCTTTTAGAGTTGCATTCACCAAGTTTCAGATGAGTTGTGTGTCACAGGGATTGTTGGTTGTTTCCTTGAATTGTTCTCACAGCTTTCACAGTCTAAACAGTGTGAACATGGAATAGGCCTCCAGTAGCACAGTCTGTTGTCAAAACATTCATTGCTGGAGATGCAAAGTACCTCGGTGGCTTAAAGCCATGCACTGGATGTGGATTCCAGGGCTACCGGCCATGGTTTTGGCATCATTTGCCTCCTTTAAAGGTAACATAGGTTGCAACATATTGGCCTCTGTACCCACTCAGGTGCCACGGCCTTTTCTCTTGTTTGTGATTTATGTGAAGATGACACACAAACTCCAGTCCAAGTGACTTGTCTTTCACTGGGACCATCTGGTCTGTAACAGTACCGAACCCGCTGCCTGCTCTCCCTCTGTCTGGCCAGTCGGAAACCCTTACCTGAGCCAGAGTGACCCAGCGCCTCCTTCTCAGCACTGCCAGCCCATGGCCAAGGCAGAGAACATTCCACAAGCCCCTCCATACCAAGCCAATTGTGCTAATTTTTTCCCCAGATAATTTATTGATTTGCCCTGCCAAGGACCGGGCTTTTGCTTGCCTATTATAGAATCCTACATCACAAACACTAACGCTGTAAAGGATCTTTGGGCAGCAGACCTAGCTGCAAGTGAGGGAAGGGGGACTTACCGCAGGTCATGTAGCTGTGCAGTGGTAGATAACATCAAAGCACAGCTCCCTGGCTCCTGGTCCTGTGCTCTTTCCTGAGCCACACTGATGTGAACCTCACAAAGCACTCCCGTTTTTAGTTCCAACGCTGCAAAGATTCTTTTTTCCCAGCTGAAGAGCAATTTGTTATTTATAGTCTTACCCAATAATCAGTGAGAGTTCATCAGAGCTGGTTGTACTTCTTTTGCAAATTCCAGTGTCATTGTTTTTAGTTGTCCTCATCTTTCAGAAAGTTGGTTGAATTTGGGTCCCTATGAACAATGCCTCCAAGAGTTCAAGTTCACTCTCTAACTAAACAGCATGCTGAGCACCAGACGAGTAGATAAGCTACATCTTTCCTCCCTGACTTAGGGAGACGGGCAGCTCTGTTTGCCTGTCACTGAACTGAGAGGCCTAAAGTACAGGGGTGGGCAACAGTAGGGTCAGAGTTGTGAGTACGTGAAACAGAGTTTGGTCTTGTGTTTTTATTATTTTTTCACACGAATGACTATATACCTACTTTTGCCCACCCCTGTATAAAGAAATACTTCATTCACTTTATTTTAAGGAAGAGTATATATTTGTGCTAATCAAAGCCTATACTATTATCCATGAGAAAATGATGCCAGATTAAAAATAAAATAAACTAAAATATATATTACATTGATATAGTCTTAATTTACAATTTTCACAGCTAAAATAGTGTTTCTAGCCATAATTAAGTCCGTATGATATGATTAAATTAGAGTAGTGTTTAAATCAGGGAGTCACTAATCTAGATAATTTTATTTTATTATTTTTCCAGAGATTTTATCTATTTACTTTTAGAAGGGGAGGGAGGGAGGGAGAAGGAGAGGGAGAGGAACATCAACATGTGGTTGCCTCTCACACACAGCCCACTGGGGGCCTGGCCTGCAACCCAGACGTGTGCCCTGACTGGGAATCGAACCAGCGACCCTTTGGTTTGCAGGACGGCACTCAATCCACTGAGCCACACCAGCCAGGGCTAATTTAGATAATTTTAAATAATTATTCTTCAGAAGAAAAAAAATTATAGTACCAAGTTCTCTTCATTCATCTTTGCTCCAGTGATAAAATCAAAGGACAGCATAAACTGAATTTCAAAGCTGAGAATATAGCATTCTCAGCAATTAAATTCTCGTATCAAAAGTGGTTATCTCAGTGTGTTGAGGAAAGGGATATGGCCACATCCATTCCTCTATGACCTGGCCCTGCCCTACGTTGTCACACACATTTCTGTCACCTGCTTTTCCATCACCCGAGACTCTCTGAGGTCTCAGACCATTCTCCTAAAGAACTTGCCAGCAGTGGTCACATCTCATTTGCAATTGTTACAACTTGGCTCAAGCACATACCTTCCAGAAACTGTTTTCTTCAAGCTTTTTTTTTTTAAGATTTTAATTATTTTTAGAGAGGGGAAGGGAGGGAGAAAGAGAAGGAAACATCAATGTGTGGTTGCCTCTTGCATGCCCCCTATTGTGGACCCGTGCCCTAGCAGCCCAGGCATGTGCCCTGACTGGGAATTGAACCTGCGACCCCCTGGTTCACAGGCCAGAGCTCGATCCACTGAGCTACACCAGCCAGGGCCATTTATTTCAAGCTTTATACCTCCTCCCACATGGCACTTTTATATTACTTTGCTCTTTGTGTTTTCAGTTTTTTAAATATATGTTCCAATTACAAATTATGATTTTTATTTTTAAATAAGGATGCATATCATCCCCAATTCTACCAAGACAATCAAAACATCCTGGAGTGATTGCAAAGGTTTTTCTCTAAGTATATTTCCTTAACTGACCATAATAACTTTTCATAGGGACTTTCAAGCAAAATTGAACCAGAGGTGTTGAATATAGCATTTACCTAGTTGATTTTGTTAATTTCACTAGAGATACTCAGAGTTACCAAAAATACCCCCTAAGAAAGAATGTATAAGTGAAGCATGAACTGCTAGATACAAGCGTGCTACATTGGGTTTACATATGCCAGTGATTATAGCATCTGTAACTAAAAGACTTTGAAGCCGGGAAATACAGTGACTTCCATATGCTCTTCAATGGTAGATGAACTAGGGTAGAGAATTCCGAAACCTGAATGTGTTATTCTGCGGGGGGAAAAATTAACATAAGAACTGTTAAGAGAAGCACATGTGCTGGGATTAGCAATCAGTAAAGTTTTCTTTTAAAGGAAAGTAGGATTTCAGGGTAAAAGGGACAAGTTAGAACATTGAAGAAGTTCAGAGGCACTGCATAAGGCCTGTGTGCTGGGGGTGGGGAGGGGGGAGGAACCAGTAATAGGTGTGCTCGTGGCTGGAAGAGAATCCTGAGAGGCTATTTCACTGGACTTTGTCTGCAAGAAAAACAGTTTTATTTGGCATGAAGGAATTAAGATAGAGGGGGGGGGGAAGGAGTGGTCAGGGAGGAACCTGTGATCCATGAATGAGATGGAAACAGCTCTAGATTACATTCTGAATAGAAGTTAGAGTGAGGCAATAAAAAAAGGTAAGGTGCCTGGCATAGAAGAATGACTCATGGATCTCGGCTGAGGGAGCCGTCAGCGTGTTTGTGGAATACTCATGGAGCGGGGAGGAATAGGAGATTTAGTAGACCATGAATTCGTTATTAGCCCACGTTGTAAAGTTGTCACATTCATGATACTCCACTTTAGCAGCCTGTGGCCAAGGTCCCACTGAGGTCTCTAGCCCGCGTTGCACCCACAGTGCTGCTGGGGATTCCTTCATGTGTCCTGCCCAGTCCCATTCTCTGCAACTCTTACTCCGCTCTCTCCTCAATAGTGATGACAACGAATGGCAGCCGTAACATTTATTGAGTGCTTACTCTGTGCCAGGCACTTATTTAACATGCATTAACTCAGGGGTTCCTACTGCAACCGTGTCAGGTGGAAACTATTATTATACAGAAGATAACACGGACCCAAGGTCATGCTGCTAGGAAGAAGAGGAATTAGAATTTGAACCCCAACCTTTTGGCTTCAGAGCCTGAGCGTCACCGAATAGCTCCCCAAACTTGAGATCCAACTTTCTCTAGGCCCCATTTCAGCAGAGCAAGTCAAGGTTCTGGGGCCTTAATCCTCCAGCTTGCTCTTTCCGTACTTAATGCCTGGATCTCTTGCCGCCTTTCTTCCATCGCAAGAGAAGCTAAGGCCTTGCGCCCTCCCTGAGGCTCCTCCCTCTGCCAGCGTATTAATCTCCTCCGCTCCTGCCACTGCAAAGATCAGGACCGGGTCCCATTGATTCTTAGCCTCTCCCCACCCCCAACATTCTCCTTTCTCTTTAGTCCTACAAACATTTATGCCTTCTATTTAAAAAAACAAAACAAAACCCCCAAATCTCTTCCTTTTACTCTACGTCTGGAAGTTTCCTCCGAGCAGAATCTCCATCATCTTTGTACCTCTGGAAAAGGTGTTAAAGGAAGTAAATCTGCATTGGATAAAGGTGTTTTAGAATAAGGGAGCTGCTAGTCCCCTTCGTCTCTGTGTTGGTCAGCATGTTTTTATTGCGTTTTATTCTGGGTGTGCAATTTGAGTAACAGATCGCTGCACTGTCCTAGGAGAACAGGAATATGGTATATGGAGGTGAGAGCAGTGGAAGGAGATTGGATTGTTTAGCCTAGTCAAGGGAAGGGAAGACTTGAGAGACGTATAGCAGCTTCAAGTATGGAAGAGTAACATGTGGAAGAAAGACTAATCCTATTCTGTGTATCTCCAAAGGTTATAGATAAGGTCCAGAGGTGGAAGCTGCAAGGAAAAGGACTTTATTTTTCATAGCAACGCTATGCCGTAGAGATTTTTCCTCCTGGAGAGAGGTAGTGAGTATCTTGTCAAGAGTAGTGTTGTCTGAATGGTCACATGATAGGTGATTCTAGAGGAGATTTGAGCACAAGATGTGTTGTTGATTATATATAGCCTTTAGGGTCTGTCCTGATCTTAAATTCTGAAAGAGCTTGATTTTTTTTTTTTTTTTTTAGCCCAGTATGTTCAACCTGGGCTATACGGTAGAATTACCTGGGGAGTTTTAAGAAAAAATATTAATGCTCACATCCCACCTCAGGTCAGTTAAATCAGAATAGTGGGCCAGGGCCTGGGCGTTGATATTTTTTAAAAGCTCTGCAGCTGATTCTAATGTACAGCCACATGTGAGAACCTCTGATTTAGCTGAATCAAGCTGAATAACATGGTATGGATTAGTAGTTCACTTATGGTAACTTACTGTAACTATAGCACTTGAGTTGTATGTAGGTCAGTGTAATGGAAATGCCATCACATATTATTCTTATGTCTGATTCAAACTCATATGTCTCAGATTATATTATTAAAATACAGAAATAACATTGAATTTCTAATTAGCCATAGTATGCATTTGCTCAACATGAGGGATCTAATCTGTGGCTATTTTCTTAAAACGCAGGTATACACACACATACACGCACTTGCATGTACATAAAAGGAAATTTCTTGTAACAGTAAATAAATGAATGAAGTGATTGTTGGTCTCCTCAGAATAATAAACTGGATATTGTAAATTTGGAAAGTTAATGCATTTCTGTTTTATGAGGCAACCTGGGAGCTTTTCATTTGGATGTTGATCTGGGTTCATGTCACTGTGCACTGGTAGCAAAGCAGGAAGGAGTCTAGCAATAAAAAGAAACACTTGACATTGGGTGTTCACTTTTCCTGGAGCCACTCAAAGAAAATAAACTCAATACCACTACAGATGTTCCAAATGTTCTTTTGGGGGGGGGGGGATCGTTATGTTTAGTAGTGCCTATAAAAAATCAGAACTGTTCTGAAGTAGTTTTCTCCTTGTTTAATTCTCTGTCTCTTCTGTTTAACTTTCTCTTTAAAGCTATTGGCGTCAGTAACCAGAGGGAAACCACAGTAGTCTGGGACAAGATAACTGGAGAGCCACTCTACAATGCAGTAGGTAAGCTGTTGTGCATGGATGTCAAATGCAAGGCCTTTCTCCACTTGTGAATGTTGTCGTACTAAAACATCTAGCTAAAAAAGCATGCAGTCATGATTCCTATAATTCGATGGGATGGGCAGAAGAGTCCTCTAAGAAGTTCATTGTTTTCTATATATACCATTTATAGCCATTTATTCACATCTTGAATTAACTCTTTCCCATACTGTCCCCCTTCTCTTATTCTTTGTGTTATGCCAGTGGGTCGATGTTGCCAGAATTTTTTTTATAATCCCTGCTGTTTTCTGACACCTAAAAGAGCTCTCAGTTCCTCCTCTCCCCTCAAAAATCAAAATTACAAATGTTCGTAATCATCTCTCTTGAAAGCACTTGTGTACTTGGTCTTCCCACCTGGGATTCTGAATCAGTTCTTCTGAGGTTATGAAAATAAATTCTCAAAATGTTAGCTCCTTCTGTTATGAATTAGGCTATTTTGGTAGGAGTTCAAAATCTCAAATATACCACCGTTAGATATTACATCTTGATTAAATGTATATGACCGTGGGTATATATTTTAGTATCACTCTTAGCACATGACAATTAAGCACCGAATGATACTGTCACTTGCTAAAAGGAAAGTTTTGTTCTAAATATATAATTGCTAAAAGGCATCATTCTGTCACAAATAGCAAAGCACAATTTTTATCAACAAAATACCAGGTTGTAGGGTGGGGAATGGAGGCAGAAATGGTCAGAAATGGGATGATTTATAGAGTGAGCTGCTATTTTTACTTTATACTGACATTAGTAATATAGTTACTTTAGTAGCCATTGGAAGAAAGTGATATTGAAGCAGAAAATATACTAAAAAAGGTGCCTTGTAAGAGTAGCATAAATCCTTTGGAAATAATCTTTATAAAAAACTAAGGCATTGAATGTTATTGTGTTATAAGAAAGCATTTGGTATGTCTTATGCATTCATGATTTCAAAAAGACTCAAAAACTGTTGAAGAATTGCAACCAAAGTTCCTATTACACAAAAGTACATCTTTTAATCTTTATTTTGTCCTCATTCTCATGAGCAGCTCATTTCGAATATAAATAAAGGAGGATATTATAATTTTAATGATTAGTATTCTTTCACAGATCAATTTTAGCCAACTTCGTGAACTAGTTTGAGTTTTACTTTTTTCTTTTTCTAGTGTAAGGAAGAGCCTAGTCAAAGGAACCAGAAACTTCCTGTTAAACTCTGAACTTGAATTAAGTGACAACTCAGAATGAACTTTTGGACTTTGAGTTGTCATTTTAAAGTAATGCAACTAGGTTAGTTGAAGTTATGCTTATAGTGAAGGATTTCAAGTAAATATTTTACCAGAAAAACTTTGTTTGTGATATGCTCATGTCCTTTTCTTCCGTGTCCCTCTGCACCCTCCCCCCATTCTCTCTGCTTTGAAGTATTAATTCAAACCATACGTATGGAATATGAAGAACTTTTTCTCTATATTGAGCCAAATGCATGTTTGAGAACTACTTGCTTGTTCAGGGCTATACTGGGTATGTTATGGAGGATGGGATTATTGGTTGTTTTTTGTAAATACTTTATAATCTGGTTTTGGAAAGAGACTGACACGAAATTACAGATAAATTGTGTGTTGCTAAGTTGAAGAAGAATTAGAGCAAGTCCAGCTTGGTATAGATATTGAGTTTTTGGCATATCTTTGGGAAAGGTTGAACTCCATTTTAGGCCTCAAAGAATGTATTGTATTACATTAGGAAAAGGAAGAATTGAAGGATAGTGTAACTAAGTTATGAAGGTAAAAATGTGTACACTTATTTCACCAAAGAGTGAAAAGACTGATCAAACTCGAGCATAGGGTGACTTATTTAAAAGAGTTTTAATAGAACTAAGAGTGATAATAATGCTTAATAAGTGCTAATTGCCATTACTGTGTACTAGGGATTGTGCTAAACACTTGACCCTGAAATAGGTTTTACTAGCCCTGTTTTCTAAATGAATTATGGAAAAGCTATAGAACTTGTCTAATGCCGTATAGCTGTAAGTAGAGGTAAAGCCAGTTTGGACATAATCCTCTCCAGCCTCAAAGCCTGTGTTCTAACTTGGATAGATAGGGGTTGATGAGAATGGAGAGGGCACTGAAAGCCATGCCCTGGGCACCATGGGGCACAATGGGACAAAAGTGGGGTGGGGTGGGTTCTTTCAAATGCACCTGTCCTCTGAGAGCAGCTAGAGAAAGGGAACAACAACAACAAACTATCTGAAGGACTAGAAGGCTACCAAGGCAGTGAGAAAGTGTGGGACCAAGATCTGGGAGAGAAAGGAAGCCCAGAGAGGTGGGCTGGGCATTTAGTGTGGTTTAGTCCCTAGAGATGTCTGTAGATTCTGAAAGGACTATCTGAGAGGCTACGCAGCACTGTCGTAAGAGTTTGAAGATAGGGAAGCAAAAGACGGAGTCAGGGGCAGCCAAGGGTGGAGATGAATATTCGGCATACTACAAACTTCTGAATGGAACTGTGAAGGGCCAATCCTAAAAGGAAGGTAAATGGAAAATATACCAACCTCCCCAGGAACTGAAGCACAGATTCAGATAATTTTAAAGCCCAATTTGATTAAGATGTCCTGAAATTGCTAATGCTTGTAGTCTAACTTCTTTTAGAGTTTTCATATATAATTTCTAGTTTTCTATAAAAGAATAATCAGGAATAGAAAACAAGACATGACTAAAAACCAACAGAAACAAGTGGCATTAGAAGCAGGCCTATAGGAAATCCTGATATTAGAGTTAGCAGACTTAAAAATAATCATGATCAGCGTATTCGAGCAATTCAGTGACAAGATTGATAACCTTAACAAAAATTAGAAATTTATTTAAAATATTTTTTATTTATTTATTTTAGACAGAAGGGAAGGTAGGGAGAAAGAGAGGGAGAGAAACATCAGTGTATGGTTGCCTCTCACGCACCCCCTACCGGGGACCTGGCCTGCGAACCAGGTACATGCCCTGACTGGAAATTGAACTGGTGACCCTTTGGTTCACAGACCAAAGGTCAAGCAACTGAGCCACACCAGCCAGGGCAAAAAATTACAAATTTAAATGTGGAAATTCTAAAACCATATTTAAAACTCAGTTGATGAGTTTTACATCATATTAGACAGAGCTAAAGATGAATTAGTGAACCAAAAGAGAGATCAGAAGTAAATATCCAGACTAAAGCACAGAGAGACAAAGGTTTCGAAAATACAGGAAAAAATCTAAGAGAAATATGAAGTAAGGTAAGGGAGGTCCAACACATTTGTAATTGGAGTCCCAGAAGAAAAAGAGAGAAGGATGATAATGTTTTTGAAAAGGAATAAAAGATACCAAGGCATACTTTGATCCCCATGCAAGATGAATACAGAGAGCCAAACATAAACCCATGCTGAGACCTGAAGATATAAAGGCAAATTGTAAAGTAAGCAGAGGATTTCTCTCTTCGTAGTAAAATGGATACTGTGAATGAATTCATGGGATTCCTGCATGGAGATAGAGAATAGAGAAAGAAGGCAAAGGCAAGACCTTTTGGAGGAAAAATACCACCTGTATGTTTGTAAACTGGATAGGGCATAAAGGTGAAGGAAAAATAAAACAGGGCTACAAGATTTTTAGCCTGCGAGAACAGAAGGAAGTTAAGTAATATTTAAGGGGTGCCAACCTGGAAGGAAAAAAATGACTTTCTTTTTTTGGTTAGGTGAGTATTGGCCTTGCGTTCAAAGCTAATTTCTGGGTAATTAGAAATTTGTGGCTCTATTAGAAAGATATTGTTCAAAATGTGTACTTAAAAGTAGGTAACATAAAGGGGATAGTCTTAGTCTATTATACATGAATTCACTATAGGAATGAATGTAAAGTTAATTAATCCAATAAAAAATGTAGGTTCCTTTCTATGCACCAGGTTCTGTGACGACCCCTAGGCATATAGTGACAAACCAGGAAGGCACAGTGCTTGCCTTGGTGACACAGAAGGCTAAGGATAGGAATTTGGAAGAGAGGTGAAGGGGTAATAGAAAAGGAGAGAGGAATTAATTCCCTGGGAAGAGAAGCCACTTAGTAATGACAAGGATAGATTCTGCCTCCAACTTATTTCACCAGGAAAACACTACGGTCTCACATCTCCATGCAAGTCTTCAGTTGAGAATATCAACATAATATTAAACCTTTAACAGTTTTATCTTAAAACAACACAAAGTGCAGTTGATGGAAACAGAATCAGATTTTTACATATCCATATGAACTCCTTTGTCTTTGTTTGTATCACAGTCTGGGTTTTACTTTCTGCGTGTGTGTTCTTTCTTATTCCCTTTCTGTTGTAAGTCTCTGCCTCTCTAGGCCTGCCCTGCTCTTCATCTTTCTCTGTTTACTAAATCACATAACTGATGAGCAGTATTTGCTATAGACAAACATATGAGAGGAGCCTACATCTCTCTTTTTTAAAAATTGCCTCTTATGTGGCTTTTTTTTTTTTTTATGGCTCAGGAGTCCTTGATAAGCAGTCAGCTCACTCACCCCCAGTACAGTAACAGAGATAGGAGAATTGCAGGGTATTATTAGTGGACATGAAATATGTTTGTTCAAGAAGCTGAAGACTGAGAAAGGCTATTTGTTTCTGCTTGCAATAAAGGTGTGCTTGTATACTGGCCTCTTTTAGATACAATTATAAGCCTCGACAAAAATTTAAATGGGTCCCTTGAGGCACAGATGACCCACGTTAGTAGTTTTATAGACTTTTAGAATCTGTGTGTTAATTCTCCGAGCAAGGTAAATGTTGGTGTGGTATCTAATATGAAGAAGTGTCACTTTGCATCACTGCTCCCCAGTCATTGTGCCATGTTGCAGCCATTTACTATTATGACCTCACAAGTGGATTGCAGGAGCTTTGTGGCCTCAGATGTGGAGCAGGGCTTTGGCTGCTCTTGCCTGTCTTCGGTTATCCTTGTTCCTCTGGGACTTTTCTTTCTCCCTCTTAGTATTGTTATTTTTTAAAAAAAGATTTTACTTATTTATGTCCAGAGAGGGGAAAGGAAGGAGAAAGAGAGGGAGAGAAGCGTCAATGTGTGGTTGCCTTTCACGTGCCCTTAACTGGGGACCTGGCCCGCAACCCAGGCATGTGCCCTGACTGGGAATCGAACCTGTGAACCTTTGGTTTGCAGGCTGGCACTCAATCCACTGAGCCACACCAGCCAGGGTCTCTTCATTAATTTTCATCAATATTCTTTTCCAAAGAGTTCCCACCACCCCACTCCCTGCCATTTTTCTAAGCCCTTTTCATCCAAAACCAACTTTATTAATTCTCTACATACCTTGGTGTCTGTATTACTGCAAAAAGGTTTGGGTTTGTAAATACACCACAAACTAAACTGATAAAGAAGTACAAAACCAGCCAAGTGGTTCAACTGTTGAGTGAGGGAGGGCTGGGATCAATGATACCTAGTGTGTTCACATGCACAGCTCCCTGATGCCACCCAGTGAAATGGCCTGGCCTAACTTGGATAGAACACAGGAAGGACTGAGATCCAGGGAGGCAAGGGCCACTGACTGAAGACCTTCAGTGCATCAGAGAAAACCACCAGCAAAAACATTTGTTTCTGAGACCATTTTCCTTATTTAAATTGTAAAGTGAAAAAACATTTGTTCCTAAGATGTTGGATTTAAAAGTCCCTATGACACATAGCTCTTTAGGCTGAGTGTGCAGTTTTAAACATTGCTCATCCTCTTTGCCTTTTTTTTTTTTAAATTTTTACATATTGGTTAAGCCTGGGCCAATGATTAAACCTGTATAATCATCTGTTGCGATCTGAAAGAACCTTGAGCTCAATTTTTAAAATCTTTTCTGGACTGGGTTATGTTTCAAAGTATCAGCATAAATGTAAACCGTAGATGGCAAACTACCAAAAACTCCCAAGCACACTTAGCCTTCAACAACAAAAGTGTGGTTTTATTTGTATTGCTTTACAGATTTTTTTACTTTGGTAAAATATAGAATATGTAGCTTTATCAAGATCCAGTTGTTTTTTTCATTATTTCAAGTCTTTTAGGACACAGTTCAGGTCTCTGAGTGCCTTACGTGCACTTCAATCCTGGATAAGGAAATACTGCCATATTTTGCAATGGTTGATTTCTTTAACTCTGGCCAGTTTAAATTTAAAATAACTGAATTTAAATAATATGGAATATAAGCTATACCTGAAAATTTAAATTTAAAAAATGCAAAATAAAACAGCTGACTTAGATTTGAGGTCTCCGATCTTTAGTATTTCTTCATATTCTGTTTAATAAGACTACGGAGTCATCCTGGCTTATACCTATGTCACAGAGCTTGAAATCTGGGTTCAGACTCTGGGTTCAGATCCTGGCTTTTCCACCTAGTACCCTTCTGTGCCTGTTCCCTCAAGAGTTAAACTAGAGAAATTAAAACTGCGGACCTCCCAGGTCTGAGGTGAAGGTCGGTGGATACATGCAGGATATGTAAAACAGCACCGCGGAGCACAGGGCTCCAGTAAGCATTAGCCGTGGCCACTGTTCCGAATTGGCTGATAGTCTTTGTATTCCAGGAATGCCGGAGGAAATGATTGATTTCTCCATGACATGTTCTTACAGGAAATGCAGAGCCTACCCCGGGACTCCCACGGTTGTCTCAGTCACTATTGGCATTTTGGCTTTTATGCACCTAACAGCTGAAATAGGTTTCAGCCTTCACTTCTTTTGGCATATACGTGTAGACATTTTCATTCATCCCCTCCCCCCACTCCAGTTTTCCTTTGTCCCCACCTGATGTCTGAAAATGTCATCGGGAACAGTTATCAATATAATCTCTTCGTCGTGGTAAACCACCTCTTAGCCAGCTTAATTAATAGCTTAACTTTTGGCAAGTGGTAACACGTGGCAATGAAATTTGGTTTACTGTTGTGTCTCTTGTGGGGAAAACAACTTGGTAACACTTTGTGTAGCTGTCAGCAGTCCTCGCTTAGGGTGTGTTCCATAACCTGGGGCCTCCCATTCACCTCACTTCCTGTCAGGTCAGTAGCTCTTCATAACAAACCGTGGCAGAGGAGATATATTATTGGCCTTTGTTTCTAGTCAACTAAAAATAATTTAGATTATCTCTAGTGTATTTTTTTCCTCAGATACTTTTCCCTTCTGTTGTTATGACTAACCAAAAGTAACACAAATTTCTAAATATTCTAAAAATAATTTTTCCCTCTGCGCTGTTACTACATCACTAAACTAACCCTGGTTCATGGGCACTGAGGCAACTGCATTTCTCTTCCCTCTTAAAGCTTTGTTTTTCAGCACAAACCAAATGTACCAGACATAGTGGAAGTGACTTTATTTATTTATCCTCACCAGAGGACATTTCTTTCATTGCTTTTAGAGAGAGAGGAAGGTGGGGAGATAGAGGGAGAGAAACATTAATAGGTGCCTCTCATACACACCCCAAAGGGGGCCTGAATCCACAACCTAGGCATGTGCCCTGGCCGGGAAGTGAACCTGCGAACTTTCAGTCTATGGGACCACACCCCAACCAACTGAGCCACACTGGCCAGGGCAGAAGTGAGTTTATTTAATACAAATGAAAGTTTTCAGTCATCCAAGTTTTTTTTTTTTTAAATTACCTATTCATTTGATGGCCTGAACCATTTAATACCAATTTACTTGATCTAAATGAGGGAGATGCCTTCTAGAAGCACACTGTATAATATTTTGGACTCCCCAGCATCTACTTTTCTTATTTAAAAAAATAAATCATCTTGGAACTTGGCTATTCCCGGTTTCCTCTGGACCTGATGTTTCTTTTAGTGGCGATGGCCTTCACCTCCTGCTTCTCTAGCAGGGATGTATGTGCTTTCTTGGGGCTGTGCCTTCCCAAAGCGGCCCTTTCATGCCTTCCTGCAGATGGCCTCGACAGAGATCGTGACGCTTCCTTAGCATTACTTTCTAATGCCCCCTGTGAATGTGCTCAGTCACTGTATCATGCAGCCTTTCAATCCAGTGGTTGAGTGAGTGGCCAACAACCATCTGCGCCCCTTTTCTAACTAGGTTGCAGATATGTGGCCAGGTAGGGAAGAGCTGTCCTGAACAAAACACTGATCTATACCTGGTCTCTGTTCAAATGACAATAATATTGAAGCAGAGACTCCGACTGGATTGCTTTTGTTCCCCTTCTCCTCCATGTCTCTTCTTTTTCTACACTCAAATGTGTAGGAAAAAAATGTTCATTCTGATGAACTTGCCCAAGTGAGTGAGCTACTATTTCCTAAGTGGTCAAGAAGGGAACACAGACCTTGAATCTGGCCATCTCTAGCATGAATTGCCATTATTTCTCCTAATGCTCCAGCTGCTCCAGTTTCTCCTGGCCCTTCAGATCCAGTTGCCGTTGTTCCCTCTGGCTCTTCAGTTCCAGCTGCTGGCCCTTCCTCAGGTATTGGTGCACTGGCTCTTGCTCCCTTCCCGGCCTTCACCTTGGACATGCTGGGGAAAATTGACCACTGCCGCTGGATCTGGATCTGGCACTTCTTCTGATTGTTCTCAAAAATGACCTCCACAAGGGGCTTAGTCTTCCAGCTTGGGGTCTTCTCTTTGGCTTTTGGTCTCTTCCTCTGCAAATCTAATTCTGCCATCTTATCTTCTTTAATGAGTTCTCTAATTTTTTGTGTGTTATTAATTGAATTAATGTTGAGCATTTTGTGAATCGCTTGGTAGTGTACCAGCCACTGACATTTTTTTTCCCTTTGGCAGTCTTACTAATTCATTGTATGTATTCTAATTGTCTGAAATTTGTGGAACATCAAAAAAAGTAAATGTCATGCCAGCCCTCTGTGATCATGGACTAATGGAAGGAGAGAAACTTCAGAAAGCATCTAGTTCAACTGGCTTCTTTTATATTCAGGAAACCCAGGCCACATGGGTAAAATGACTTGCTGGAGTCACATAGCTTGTTGGTGGCAAAGCCAGAAGACCTAGAACTTTGCTGTCCTGATCTCACTTCACACCAAGTGTTTTGACTCTTTCTGGTGAGGGGTTAATTCTTCAGATACCACTTTGGAGACTTGCAAGCTTTCAAATGAGGAGTCAAGTGCCCAGTTACTTAAGTGGCCCTTGTCAAGGAGCAACAGAGTCACAGAGCCACTGAGACTCAGGGAACTGTTTACCCAGTTGTCAGTTTGTCTTTAGTTTTGTTTTTTAAATAAAAGAGTGGAACAAATCCAGTATCCCAAAGAACATGCCCTAGAAAAGGTGTTCTTAAGTTCTACTATAATACTGAAGAACCTGAGATGCTTCTGACAAAAGTAGAAAGACTCAGGCCTTCCTTGCCTAGACCTACAGCCAGAGTCCTGCAAGGTAAGGCCTGAGATGTGTGAGTTCAAAGTTTTTCCGGGTGGTTCTGGTGTGCTTTCTGAGTAAGAACAACTACTGTGGAGTCTAGCAGTGTTTCTTAAAGGGGTGCATGTAAAAGGTGTATTTCTGGGCCCCATCCCCAGACCTATTATCCTAGAATTTCTGGGGATTGTCGGGGGTGAGGGGATCATCTTTTAAGCTCCCTAGTGATTGTTCTGTCTATTAAAATATAGAAGGCTGATCTAGAAAGCTTTCCATCATTAAACAAGAGGCCTAGAGCAATGGCTTTCATGTCTCTTGTTCATTTCCCTTGGTAAGAAATATATTTCGTATCATGCTTCAGCAAACCCACAGAACTAAAACAAAAGTTTCACCAGTCAATACTATCTTGCCAAGTTCAGCCAACTCTGATATTTTTCCATTCTAATCCATCCTATTTTAGTTTTTCAAAGTAGGCCATCAAAACTCACTAAATTTCTTTGAAACCCCTAACCCAGTGTAGTTTGAAAATCCAAAGGTCAAGATGTGCTTGTTAATTCTACGCATCACAGATGTAAATTTTTTTTCTCAAATTCCTCTACTTTTTCCAAGTATTCCTGTTAGGCCATTAACCCCTGCTTGCCCCCTGAGGAAATCCCGCTTTTGTCACAGTCATACAATACTTCCACTGTGTACAAAGTGGACTGCCCTTGTTCTGAGGACATGGGACATCTTGCCAACTCCTTGATGTTGCTGCTAATGGCCTGTGTCAATCACAGTGCAAGTAATAGACAATTCAGTCCCTCTAAAAGAAACTTTTTAAGGATTTTATTCATTTTTTAGAGAGAGAGGAAGGGAGAGACAAAGAGGGAGAGAAATCATCAATGTGTGGTTGCCTCTCGCACACCCCCTACTGGGGACCAGGCCCGCAACCCAGGGAATTGAACTGGCAACCCCTCGGTTCGCAAGCCAGCACTCAGTTCACTGAGCCACACCAGTCATGGCAGGAACTTTTTAAAAAAGGAACTCTTTTGCTCATGGAATCATCAATCCAAGAGCACCTTAGTTCAGGTGCTGATTTATTCCAGTCTCAAAACAGTCACCCGGATCCCTCCAAGTCTGTCTTTTCTGGGATGGCTCAGAATGTAGCCTATTCAGTCCTCTCTTCAGCGGGGCAGCAGGCACGAACCACACACCGCCAGCTAGAGCTGAGAAGACGGACTCCTGCAGATGAGTGCAAATCTCCCTCAGGCTGATTAGATGCCTTGCGCCCTTCTGAAGCTACCGCTGGGGGTTTGGACAGGACAGTGGAGCTGGGGGTGTGGTGGAATCTCAGGCAAACCACGTGGCTGAGAATGAGAGGAGGAGGTTGGATGGCCTAGAGAATATGAGCTACTGCTCCCAGGAGCAAGATGTAATGGGTGCTGGACAGCAAATGCAGATGTCATCTGTAGGCCGTGCACGTACATGGTCTTCCTCTTTGCTTCCCGTTTCCTTGGTTGTGACGAGCCTTTTCTTGCTGCTTTGCACACCTGTGGGAACCAACAGAGTATCCTGAAGTCCACAATTTAAATCGCATGTGTAGTAACCACTGTCAAAGTCAGGCACAGACAGCCCTCAAGGGAAATGACAGTTGAAGTCATTAGAAGAATTGATTAAAATTCACTATCGGAATTTTACTGGGTTTTAAATGAAGAGAAAGACATAGTATAGTTAAGGGCGCCCCTAACTAGACAATAACTGGTGGTATTCACAGGTGTGGTGGGCCAGCCTGTATAATCTTCCCTGTTGTCCTTCAAATAGGCTACGGGCCCGAATCTTTTCAGGGCCATCTGAGCACAGCCGGTATCTAAAAAGACCTAGTGACCACTAACACATTAAAAGTTGGAAAAGTTAAGTTACAATACTTATATCTGGCAAATAAAGCTCAGCTGATCCTATTGGTTACCTTTCACAGTTGTTTTGTGTGCCACTTAATGTTTTCTCTTTCTCAAGCCTTTTTGTCACGAAGCAGAACAGAAATACTATCTACTAGCGGATCAGGAAATGGACAATAGTTATTCAGTTAAAAATAATGTTGATCTGTTGAAATGGAGTTGTGTGGGGGTTTTTTTGGGGTTTTTTTTTTTTTGGTTACAATTCAGCATGGAGAAAGAATGGTAAAATAATTCTTTTAATGATTCCAGGTTCTTGTCTACTTTGAAAGAATTTAATGTAAATAAGCATTTCATATGGGAGAGCCTAAATCTTATTTTTTTTCCTTCAATAATAGTATCAGGTTCTCTACTCGTAACAAATTACTCCTATGTTTTCAAACATACATGCTTTATACACGGGAAGGTGATTCTGGGCTGTGCATTCTGCCCCGGCGACTAGACTGCCCTAGCATTTAGATTTTCTCTGCACTCACATATGCTTAGAAGTTCCATACCCAAGACATTTTTGGGGGGTTTTCCTATAAAATGGAAACAAAGTCAGCACCCTAAGGTTTGTATTGTTCTCCTACCTTGGTCTGTGATTTTGCATAAAAGCTTTAAATTCTCCCTCGTAAATTTATTCTCTTCTAACAATATGCCCATTCATTTCTAATTTTCTAATTTCTGTCTTTTGAAAGCTATAGCATTTTAATTGCTTATGGAAACTAATCAGTCTCCTATCCTTGACAGTGATTTCGTTAAGATCTGATTTTATTTTAATGAAGATTTTCATACATATTATTATATTTTGGTCTATAGTGTGGCTTGATCTAAGAACCCAGTCTACCGTTGAGAACCTTAGTAAAAGAATTCCAGGAAATAATAACTTTGTCAAGGTAAGAGAGCTCTTCTAAAGTATACTATTAGAATGCTCATTTAAAAATGTAGAGATTTCACCAAAAAGACTGTTCGGGCCTTACATCTTATCACACAATAGTTATTTGATATAATGTATAGAATATTTCTCCACAGATAATTGAGGATAATTGAGGATAGCTCAGGTTTTTTCTGTCTTCCTTGCCCTGTGGTTGGTTGGAGGAATAATATTCCAAGGGCGGTAGGCTGCAGGGGTTACAAAGCATCCCTGTGGTTATGATATATTCCCCAGGGGGTTCTTCCTGTAATTGAACCCTGACTTTCAGATCCATCCCTCTTGATTTCTACTATCCATCAAAGAAAGTTCTGGGTGCTTTTGAGTGTTTAGGCATCTGGATTCAGGGAGAGAAAGTAGAAGACATTTTATTGAATCTATTAAACACTTCCACTCTCTTCATATGAAAACAGCTAATAAAAACTTGCCTAGTATTCAGTCCTTATATAGATCACTCTTCAGGTAAATGAAGGGGGAGAGAATTTTTGAAAGCGGCAGGGTATTTTTCTTAGCAAGGTCAAGACCAGATTCTCCTAGTATCCAAAAAACAGTTCTGGTTTTTGGTTTATCCCCTTTATATATTTCAGTGGGACTCAAGACAATTGGTTCTTGGTTTTGAAACTGGTGTTCAAATCCTCTTAACTACAGCAGTTTAACGAACCATTCCCTTCCCTGACCCGCCCACATAACTTGAGGCTAGTCCTGAATGTACCCTTACCATTTTGTATTCTGTTCTCTTTCTCCCCCTGTCCAATCTTAACCCCTACCTCCAGCTACACTTTGCTTCAGGGGATGCATGTTTTTCTCTCCCTTTTTCGGTGCCCTTTTAGGCAACTTCTTCACTTTTTACCTAAGTCATGAAAATGAGACAATGAGTACTACCTCACGATTAGTGTTGTGGGGGAATATTCTCATACATTATTTCTTTTCATTATGTTTTATCATTGATGTATTTTTTTCCCTAGGAAAGCTAGGAAACCATGAGTTAAGACTCTTAACTTACAGGTTGCATTAAAGTATTAAATCCTTTGGTTTGAGTATTCTTTTTTTTTAAGATATTATTTTTATTTATTTTTAGAGAGAGGGGAAGGGAGGGAGAAAGAGGAGGAGAGAAACTTCAGTTGGCTGCCTCTTGCTTGTCTCCAGCCAAGGACTGGGCCCACAACCCAGGCATGTGCCCTGACTGGAATCGAACCACCAAGCTTTCAGTTCACAGGCTGGTGCTCTATCCATTGAGCCACAGCAGCCAGGGCATGGTTTGAGTTTTCTTACCAAACATATCCATAGGAGATAAGAAAGAAAAAAAGGATCATTTTCTGTAGTTAGGAGGTAAATGAGGACACTAGGGACGGGGAGGGGAAAGATAGTTGCATTATTTTGATGTATGTATTTTCTTAACCACTTCTGTCAGCCCTTATAAAAATGTTGGTATTTAATATGCAAACAAAAATAAGAGTTGGACCTGATCCGTCTCAAGGAAGATTAATAAGCCCATATGTGTTTTATTATTACACTTTACCCTTTATTCAATCCACCCTCCCTTTGTTTAATCTATTTGCTCATTTAGGCCAGTACTTTCTTAAATAGAGCAGCTGTTTTGCTTTAATCTGATGTGTCTTTGAGCTCTACTTTATTCTTCACTAATTTTATATTATACTATTTGAATATGAATGTGTAAATACATATTTATAATATATATTTTTATACACATGCATATGATGTCAGATCTTACATGTTTTAAAACAAATTGTTCTGGTTTTGGTCATTAGTTTATTATTTGCTAAACTCTGATTGCAATAGTTTAAATATTACTTTCATGGAATATAAAATAAAAAAACAGAGCTTTGGACTAGGTTAATTCTAACTCATCACAAAAATCTAGATTAGAGGCACTACGCCATATAATTCTCTCTTTACCTTGCTACGTGGATGCTCTTTGAACTGCAAACATATCGCTGATCTTTGTTCACAAGCCTGCTTTCCTGCGCCACGAGACAAGTGAAGTATTTTTATCCATCACACCATGGCATGGCCTTTAGGGCCACTGAATATTTTGTGATTTGTGGGGTTTTTTGGTTTGGTGTTTTGTTTCATTTTACACTGTCATGAATTTAATTGGCAATTGTTTTTAGTCCAAGACAGGCCTTCCACTTAGCACTTACTTCAGTGCTGTGAAAGTTCGTTGGCTTCTTGACAACGTGAAAGAAGTTCAGAAGGCTGTTGAAGAAGATAGAGCTCTTTTTGGGACCATTGATTCCTGGCTTATTTGGGTATGTTTTAATAGGATGCGTGTGTGGAGAAATTTTTTCCAAAGTTTTTTAGACTGCCTTGTCTGCTCTCTGGTTTCTACTAAGAATTCAAACATTTTAGTTGGCAGCCTTATTCAGAAAAGCCACTCAAGGAATAGCAGAACACTTCAGCCTCCATTTGAGAGGGGCATTTTGCCTGCTTCCTCTTTATTTTTTCTTACCTTGTTTCAGTAAAAATAAGAGGATGATTACCAAAACCATATCTGTTGTCCTTAGAATAAGTAATTTAGGTAATTAGTACTTGGTCATTTAGGCAGCCTTTCTCTCTTGCCTATCATGAAGTTTTCCACTAGCCATTGTTGAGAATAAATAACTATTTCACATGATAAAACACCTAGGCTGCTTTTTGTAACTGTCTCTTATTTAAGCCATAATACGAAAAACCATAGTGGACATTTCTGATACATAATTTTTTTTTGCCTAAGCTGAACATGGGTAAGTAGAAGCTAACATTTCAAACATTTCCCGGATAAATCTTTAAAGTACATGTTCTCTCTCTCTCTCTCTCGCTCGTTCTCTCTCTCTCTCTCTCATTTTTATTACAGCTATTTTCAAATAGACCCAAAAGCAGAGGGAATACCGTAACAAACTTCTACAACGCGCGAGCCAGCAATCAACTCTGGCCAATCTTGTTTCAACTATACTCACATACTCTTTCTCCCCACAGATCATTGTAAAGCCAATCCCGGACATATAATCTCATTTGTAAATACTTCAGCATTTTTAACATTCAGGGAGCTTCAAGGGAATACTATCCCTATCCTTACTAGCCAGATGTACATGGCAGGTCTTGAAAAGCACCCTTCAGAGCCTGCCTCCCCGCGACACACACACACCGCCACACACACCCATGTTAGCAGGCTGTGCTTCGTGCCCATGGCCAGCAGTTTTCATGCCTGTCAGTCACAGTTGAAATACTCCTGACAGTTTGACAATTGCCTGGAAGCAGAGCAGGCCCAAGGTGGGAACAGTCAGCTGCAGGGGAGGCTTCTCCACTTTTGTTCCTTTCTTACCTCATTGCTGCAACAGAAAAGAAAGCAGCCGTTTAAAAAATAAATAAAATAAAACAAATGACAACAATATTTAAAAATAATTTTTAACAATTTTTAAAAAGCAAGCAGTGGTGTTTTTAGTTCTGGTCCGAGGGTATTAACATCAGAGAATTTAAAACTCCGCGGGCACAGCCCACTGCGAGTTGTGATTCCAAGACAAACCAAAAACAACAGCCGCAACACAGGGTTTGGTTAAGATCCTGAAGAGGCAGACATTTCAGTGTATTTCCCTTTGCCTGATTTAGTAAGTGGCTACATTTTCCAAAGGTAAGAGGATGAAAACAAAACTGGTTTGTGGTTTAACTATCAGTTAATTTGAACCGTGGTGTCTAATGCAGTTGCCACTTTTGCCTTGAAATGTGGCCAGTCTGAATTGAGCTGTGTTGTGAGTGTAAAGTACACATTGCATTTCAAAGAGTTATTACCAAAAAAGGTGTAAATTGTCTCAGTGTTGAAAGGATATGTGGATATATTGGGTTGAAATAACATGTGTCATATTATTAAAATCAATTTCACCTGCTTCTTCATACTTTTTAAGTGTAGCTTCTAGAACACGTTCATTTATAACTGTAGCTCACATTATATTTCTATTGGACACTGCTGAAAACCAGAAAATTAAGTAAGTAAAACATGCCACTCTCCTGCTTTATATGCTCTGCTGCTGATTACAGCCCTTGAGAAAATGTGAATGAAATTGCAAGTAAGTGCAAATTTAACATGTCCTTTTTCTCCTGTCTAGAGTTTGACAGGAGGAACCAATGGCGGTGTCCACTGTACAGACGTAACAAATGCAAGCAGGACGATGCTCTTCAACATTCATTCTTTGCAATGGGATAAAGAGCTCTGCGAGTGAGTTTGCCCCTCAGAATAGTTTTCCAAATTATGCTTCCTATTTGTCACCTCAGTCCCTTTTTTTTCAGACATCAATGAAGCACCAAGCTTTAAATGCTGGTATTCAACCACAATATACAAGTCTATATGGTGTATTGTTTTAAGAGAGGACTATTGTTGCCTGCAGAATAAACGAGGCCGATTAAGGAAGTGCCTTGATTATTCTAGATTATTGCCTTGATTATCGCCTTAATTTAAAGGAAGATCAGGTTCCTTTAGCAAAGTACTTTGGTTTCTGGGGTGCTTTTGATTTTTTAATTGATTGGTCTTATAAAGTTAGAATGTTAAATATCTAGTCAGACAACTATGTTCTGCTGGCTTATTTATTTGTTACTATTTAATTTTATACTCAAATACATCCATTTACTATTATTTACACTTTTTACCTTTAAATGCATATAAATGCTTCCAGATATTTACATACTGATAACAGTGTTAAATACCCAGTCTTGTCTTACTGTTTTTTCAGATTTTTTGGAATTCCAATGAAAATTCTTCCAAATGTCCGGAGTTCTTCTGAGATTTATGGCTTAATGGTAAATATAAATTTTTCATTTAAAAAGACTATTATTCAGTATTTAAAAGTCAATCATGTTACATTTGATAGTTTGAGAGTTGTGACTTGTCTGTGACTGTTGGTAGAATGTAAAATAACAATTTAGTATTTAAATAGTTTTATAACTTAAAAATGGTAGAGTTCTTACCAATTCACTTTACACTTTATAAACTTGAATTGGCTTTTCTTTGAGTATTATTCTTTTGAATTACTACTGGATAATCTAATTGCCAAGGGTAGCATGGGAATGTTTTGAGCTATTTTATTATTTTAATCCAAATAACTATTGGGTAGTTGTGGTGTCTGCTTTTAATTTATAGGAAGGTCTCTTCACATTTTAGTGGTGGTCTTTGTTCTGTTGAATCTCTCTTTTGAATTTATTTTATATTTAAATATAGTTGGTATACAATCTCTTTTACTGGCCACACCATGTTTTAGATTACATCCTTTGTTAGCCTGAGCAAAACCTTAGCAAAGAAACTGAAAGCAAACAGTCTGCTTCTGATATGTGGTTGCTAATTAAACTGGCTTCCATAATGGACATTTTCACTGTTGCTTTCATGGAAACTCAGAGAAAAAGTAATTTCAGCAAAAAATGCGCTTAGCATCATTGGGTATCTCTGATTACACATCAGGGATGAAAAGCTCTAGGAAGATCTGAACTTATGTTTGAGCACCTAAATCTGGAACTTATGATAAAACTTAAGATTGCAAAAGATATATAGGCATTTCATGGCAAATACTAGAAACTCTGTGGAGTTAATAATAATCGAGTTAAACAGTAAGTGCTCTGGATAAATTTTGAGCAAGAATTCTTGGATGTTTCATTCATAATAAAGCCTTTTAAGGCAGCTGGAGCTTTTTAAGGGATAGTTACTGCTTATCTACAGTTAAAGTGCTTTGATGATTTTATAGCTGTCTGCAAACTGACATGAGTGAGAGAAGTAAAACAATTCTTGAGAAACCGTTTCAGAGGATGGTTGAAAAAGCATTTAACTGGCCTAGTTTTCTCTTGCATTTCAAACATTATGCTTCTGTCCCCCTTTTTCCCCCTCGCTGACTATAGAAAATCTCTCATAGCCTGGTGAGTAGGTTGCCCACCAATTATTCTACCCATTCACTCGGAAAAGATACAGTGCATTTCCATTTAGTTTGAAACAAGCAGAAGTCCATTTACCAAACAGATTGATCTAGAATCATGACTCTTCAAATTATTATGAGCTCTAGTCAAGCTGTAGGGTTGTTTTGTTTTTTTTTTAGGTTTCATCTTATCTGTTTGTTTTTAAGTTTTCCATAAGACTGAGAGTGATATTTCAAAATAAAAGTCTGTGGTAGTTTCCTGGCATGAGAAATTCTGTTGTCCCCATTTCAAAGTACATTTGTGATGTGCTTTGAGCTTTAGCATAACAGGGAAATTAGATGGAGTTTTTCAATGTCCTAAACATCTACTTTGACCAACCTTTCAGACCAGTTAGTTGGAAATGCACTGTCACTTTTTCTGCATGCTTCACCAGAGGATGTTCCCAAGACTCTTCCAGAGACCCCTCCCTGTGGCAGAAAAGGAACGTTTTCCATGTCTGACCTCACATAGTAGATCCTGCTGGTAGTTGGAAAATAACATCAATAGTTTAAGCAAAGACTTCTTTTACTACTTAAATATACAAAGCTAGACAGCCTCTAGGTTTCCTCTTGTGAAATTTATCTTTCACTTAATATCCTGGTTTAGGTTTGCTAAAAATATATACAGGAACTAAAAATAGCAGGTCTTGAATGAACAAGAAAGCATGAAAGAAATAAAATAATATCCACTATCTGAGGGTGTTTTCTATTCTGCAAAGGGTTTCCATGTATATGCTATTATTTCCTTATCATCAGAGCTATGTGAGGGGGCTTCTGTTCTTACCTTTACTCTGATAGCTGGCCCCAAACTCCCAGGGACCAGGAGACCAGCCCACAAATGGCAGGCTGAGGGGTGGGTCCAGAGCTTTTATATGGTGCACTTCCTAGTACACCACACCTACCTCAGGGATCACATTCTTTTCCCTTAGAACAAATTGCTTTATGTTAGTGTGTTATTTCTTAAAAAAAAAAAAAAAGTTTGTTGAAGTACATAGTCAGCCACTGATATCTTGTTTTTCTTCCTAGAATGCTGGCCATACTTGATCAAAATAAAAACCACTACTCATAACATGTCAGCTTTTGCTTATCTAAAATTGAAGAAGTTAGTTATGAACAAATAGTACCCAATACCTGAACACTGTTGTGTTTCTTAAGAGCAGTTTGGGTAGGAAGAATAGTTGGTAAAATGCAGCCTTAGTTCCATGCTGATCTGATAGTTACTTATATATTCATTTTAAAGAATGCGTTAGTCTTTTCTTAGTAATGGGCAATAATATCAAAGAGCTAATGACTTGAGCATTCATGTAGCCCAGGCCTCATTTTGTAGATAGATAAATCGAGGCACAGAGAAGTTTCGCAGCCTGCTCAGTGGCTAAATACTAACTAACCAGGAGTAGAGCCCACATCTCCTGACTCCCAGTCCAATGTTTTCATGTCCATTCCCAGTGCCATGTCTCCTCTTGTCACTTTAGGAAAACTTCTAATATCTGTCTTTGAACCGCTCATGTAGTAGACACACTTGCTTTGTCTTGTCTGCCCCACATGCTCTGGCATGTCGCTATTCATGTCCGTTCTTACTACAGTTATGTTAGTAGAACCAACAATTTCTGATTGTTCATAATCCTTTTTAAATTTTCATTAGAAAGCTGGGTCCTTGGAAGGTGTGCCAATATCTGGGGTAAGTTTCACCATCTAACATCTCCCTGCTACCTCTCGTCCCTCACCCTTCCCGTGTTAAGGCTTTCTCCCTTTGTCGTAATCAATCTGCCCCTTCCTGACCTGGAGAAGAAGTAAGAGGAGGAAAATTGGCTAATTCTTGTTCTTGTGTGGGTTGAGAATCTTTTGCATAAATGAATTAGAACACTCCCCATACCTGTTATCTCATGGGGGTGTTAACAAATAGGAAAATGGCTAGGTTGGAAGCCATGCAAAAAACAAGCCAACCATAAATCAGTTCATTCCTTGATAAGTAAAAAAAGGAAAATAAATCCTATAGCTCTTCTAAGAAGGAAATTAATAATATTGTCTTAGTGTCCTTTATTGTCATTTACACTTGCAGTGTTTGGGGGACCAGTCTGCTGCCCTGGTGGGACAAATGTGCTTCCGAGATGGACAAGCCAAAAATACGTGAGTTTAAGAAACAGACATAAAAACCAATGGTGTTTTCTTTGTTTTTCCCTTTGGTGCTTTGAATGAGGGAAAAGCTTTATCTCCGTCAAATAAAATGCACTATGCTGTGTATAGACACATTGATGAGGCTCATGAAGACCTTAATTTATAAAATTCAATATCTTTTCTGTCCAGAAACTAAATTTTGGTTTACGGTATTCATGCCTTTTTGGGGGGAGGTAAACAGAGGAGAGGAAGGGCCATGTTTAAAATGACAGTTTTCAACATATCATTCCTGCCCTGGGCTTTCTCACTGTAACTAGAAAGTCATATTTTTGTGGAATTTTTGATGCTATTCTCCTGGCACTGCATTCTTCCATTATCTGGAGTTTCTCCTTAGACAAGAAGCAGAAGGAATGATAGAAGTGGAGATTTGGTGCATTTTTCTCCTATCTCATCTCCTCACTACTCATGCACGTAGAATCTAACAAACCCCATATCTAAGAGTAATAACATTGCGCTCCCACTTTAGGATGAGAAAGCAGATGCTGAGAGAGATTAAGCTAGTAAGTGACAGAAGCCATCTATCTCCCCAGATCTATCTGATTTGAGTTAGCCAGGCTCCTAGCCTCTATACTGGACTGTCCCCTGTGTGGTGAAGATTTCCATAGGCCCGGCAAGAGACTTTCTACAGTTAACTGTTCTTTTCTGGAGAATTTCCTAAATCTCCCGTCAGTGTTTAACTTAAGTGATTAAGTTTTGTGGCTAATGAAATGTCTAACATTTATTTTTTTTTTAAGATTTTATTTATTTACTTTTTTAGAGAGAGGGGAAGGGAGGGAGAAAGGGAGAGAAACATCAGTGTGTCGTTGCCTCTTGCACATGCCCCCAACTGGGAACCTGGCCTGCAACCCAGGCATGTGCCCTGACTGGGAATCGAACTGGAGACCTTTCAGTTTGAAGGCTGGCACTCAGTCCACTGAGCCACACCAGCCAGGGCAGAATGTCTAACGTTTGAGATTAAATGTTCTTGTAGACTAGCAGGGTCAGCAGTCCTCATGGTGGGAGAGGGGAGGTAACAAGAATCCTTTGCAGGTCATGGTATCCTGAGGTTATCGGACACAAGAGAACTTGAGTCAGCATGGGTCTGGAAACATATTCTTTGAATTCTGGGTTTCAGGCAGCTGAATCTCAGGAGTCAAGAGAAATGTTAGAAAATTGGGCTCTTTCCTTCACCCGCCCACCCCTCACCCAAAACACCTTCGTTCCTCTTTGGTGAGCACACTGATACTAGTAAAGCAGATGCTATCAATATTTGTCAAGTATTTCACACAGCACCCAATAAAATTGCCTGGTTTTTCTTTCTGCTCCCCACCCCCCAAAACATTATCAGTCAAGCCCTGATGAAGAATTTAAGTCGGGGAGGGCTTGCCGAGTACCTATGCAGCCATTGCAGGTTGGATGCGGGAAGTAGCACATTAGAAGATCTTCAGGTTCATATTTCTCTTCCTGAAGGGGAAGAACACAAATATAGTTATTCATATTATAAATGAGAACTTCAACGCCATAAGAAACATTGAACTATGGCTGTTGGTTTCCAAAAGGAGGGGGAAAAAATCACAAAAGATCATGTTAGTAACAAGATGTTTTGAGGAATGAGCAATATCGGAGAATGCACTGAACAAAGATGCAGATGGGGAAATGGAAGACTGTTTAAAGACTATAGAGAACATTCAGGTAGGAAAGTGTAGGCCAGGATCATGTTATAAAGCCATAAAATTTGGACCTGAGGAGTTTTTTTCTCTTTTCTTTCGTTTTCTTTTCCTTCCCTCTTTTTCTTTTCCTTTCCTCTTTCCCTCCCTCCCTCCCTCCCTCCCTCCCTCCCTCCCTTCCTTCCTTCCTTCCTTCCTTTCAGAACAAATCCATTTTATTTCTCTTCAGTAAGTTTCAGTCCTTTGAGGGGCAGCACGTGACATGGATTCTGTGAGCAGTGGCCTTAGCAGGAAGGTCGCTTCAGAATTTAGTACAAACCAGCCCCAGTTTCCGTGAACACGAGTTCCTTTCCCCAGATGATGCTGGTTTTGTTCCCGCTGCCCCCAGGAGTCTGTGCCGTTCTTTGCCTTGTGCACAGAAGCACATCTCGTGCCTGGATGCAGTTCAGTTTCTTCTTGATCACAAACACCATTTTTAAGAAGAGCCGTGAGCTCTCTCTGGTTCCAGAGACCCTGCTTATGTGGCCAGCAAAAATGGCCTCGGACCACAGCCTTGCAGACGCATTGGTCGTTACAGAGTCCTGTTCCTGGCAGGCCCCCCAGGCTCTCAGGTAGTAGGAAGAGCCTGAGGGCTTTTTTCTTGTTGGGCAGTGGGACACTTCTGAAGGTTTGCGAGCCAGTGTTCAGAGATGACTGGAGCTGTTTGTTTAATAATACGGCGTTCCCAGGTCAAAGTGAGGAGAAGCTAGAGGCAAAGAGACCATAGAGGAGGCCACTGCAGTGTGCTCACAACAAAGCGAAGACTAAGAAGGGTAGGGACGACAAGGCTGCAGATGGACGTACATGGCCCTGCAGAGAGACAAGCTACAGGAAGTAGGTATGGAGTCACGTGCGCTGAGTAGTTAGGAACTGGTCAAAGTAGAAGAATTTCTGTTTGGGGCATATTTGTGATACTGGTAGGCTCTATATTGCATGTATTTGGAAATGTGGAATGAGTTTCGTATAAAAGTAGAGATTGTGAATGCCCCCTGTTGACAGGTGATTTTTTTGAAGCGATAGGAATAGATGGAACTGGCAAGCAAAAGTATACAGGTGGAGGAGATATTTAGGAGAAGCAAGAGACACAGAGAGAGATAATTCAGAAAAACAGAATGTAGCTATTTATTCATGTGGAAATCCAGGGTAGAGATATTTAAGGGGGAGGCTTGGTCAGCAGAGCAAAAGGCTACAAAACGGTCGTGGAGGCTGAGAATGAGAACAGACCATGGGTACGTAGAAATTAGGTCATCCGCGGGACCTCCAAGGATGAAACTTCAGTAGAATGCTCAAGATGGAAGCCAGCTTGCAAATGGTCAAATGGGTGTTGTGGGGTAGGTAAAAAATAAATAAATAAAGACAGAACGTGATTTGCAAAAATGCAACCATCCAGGAACAGTAAGGTCATTTAAAGGATCATACCAAGTTTGGAGAATTTTGTGTGTGTGTTTTTAGTCACGGCAAGACTAGAGAATGCGTCTTTGGAGTCTGAGCAGAGAACAGATGGAAGCTGTCAAATAAACAGGAGATAAGTGATAAGCAGAACAAAGTCCTAAAAGGTTGGAGGGATTGGGACTGAGAATGTAGTTAATCTCACTGATCCTCAGTGTGGAGCCACTGACAACCAGCTCAGAGGTCAGTGGAAAACCCAGCTCTGTTTCTGGGTGGAGAAACAGATTATGGGGGATTCTAATTTTTCTTGCAGTTTATCTGTATTCTCCAATTTTTTTAGAATGAATATGAATTGTTTTTTAAAGATGTTGCTTGTTTATCTTTAGAAAGAGGACAAAGGAGGGGAAAAGAGGCGGGGGGAAATGTCAGTGTATGAGAGACACATCGATCGGTTGCCTCTTGCACGCCCCTAACTGGGAACCTGGCCCATAACCCAGGCATGTGTCCTGACCAGGAATCGAACCGGCAACCCCTTGGATCGCAAGCCGGCACTCAATCCACTGAGCCACACCAGCCAGGGCTGCATATGAATTATTTGAACATCAATTTTGCTTTTAAGAAAAAAACCCTAAGATAGATGCCTCCTCTTCCCAGAGGTCCTGAGAGTAATAAATGAGGCCTTATATCTCCTTTACAGCTTTGGCCAGGACCATCTTTGGCACACTTCCCCATGAGGGGTAGCAACAACCTTTATCTCCACAGAGGTCAGAAGAGTCAGGCATCATTTTGGGGTGTTTGAACACAGAACAATCTTAAGGGAAGGATACATAGACCAGAGAAACACCAAAAGTGCTGTATCTGTTGGAAGACTGGGAAGAAGGAGTAATAAATTGTGGGGGGAAAACAGTTGCCTGTGTACTGCTTTGAAAGCTATGGCTTCAGTGTAGCAATGGAGTCTCTTCATACATTGCTAGTGTTCGTTAATTACTTACTAAGTATGCCAACTTAACAGTTCACTTTTACTGAGTCCCTTGAGCCTTCACATCAATTTTGCGCTTTAAGACTTGTACACCACCATTTATGGGAACAGTGTTTATATGGGTGCTAAATTGATACAGATTTCTCCTTTTAAAAAGAAGAAACAAATCATTAACTTCCATTTTCATGAATATTTATTAAAATTTATAACTTCAAATATATAATCTTTTCTGTGTTGTGGAAGTAAAAAGGTACAAGTGATTTAGATGTTTTCATTTGTAAATGTATTGTTAGCTGTACCTACTGTTACTTGACCGGTGTCTTTAAAAACGTAGATATTAATTAATCCCGTGTTCCTTGAACGTGTCAGCTGTGCATCAAGCAGGCCGAGAATATATTTGGTTGAGAAGAGATAGAATGCCTTGGGCTAATTTTCATTGAGAACAATGGCATGCTGATGGGAGAAACTTGCCCTTGGCTTCTGTTTGCTCCGCGAGACAGAGGCAGCAGATGGGGTCTGTTGACATAGTCCTGGCTGGAAGTAGCTTCTGCTGGGGTCCCTCTACCGGCCCTGGGACTGAATACAGCCCCTTCGCCCGCCTGCCAGAATGTCACAGAGCCCGTTGGGAGGCAATCCCGAGCGCAGGCAGGACAGCTTGTGGAAAGCCAAAGTGACAGTCACAGCCAACTCAGCTGAAAACTGTTTCCCTGTGACCCTTACTGGTATCAGTTTGGGCTGCTTATCTGCCTGGCACAAGTCAAAACTACTCACATCCACATGCCAGACTTGTCGCAGAGTCCAAAGCTTATGCTGATAAAGCTGCCACAAAATAAATTCAGGGCTTCCATGACAGCCAAGGTACAGTTTCCCAGCACTATTCAAATGCCCAGTCCTGGCCCTGGCTGGGTAGCTCAGTTGGTTAGAACATCGTCCCAATCAATAAACCAAGGTTGCAGGTTCGATCCCAGGTCAGGACACTTAAAGGAATCAACCAATAAAATGCATAAATAAGTGGAACTACAAATCGATGTTTCTCCCCCTTCCCCGTCTCTGTAAAGTCAATTAATCAATCAATCAGTCAAAAGAATACCCAATTCTACTGAGATGGGAAAGCTAGACCTCAAATAGCCTTCCTGTCTATGCCACTTCAGTCCCTGCAGCCCAGCTGGGCTGCACTTTTCCACACTCTGGACATGGCCTTTCCTCATCAGAAGATAGTGGTGTTTCTGTGTGTGACCTTGTTCTTCTAGAGTGATCTTTAAAACGTGACTCCAATGTGATGTTTGTTAGGCTTTTGGAACTTTTCTAAAACTTGAATATAATGACTCTTACTGTATTAAGTTAAATGTCAGTGTAAAGAATTTGTATTATTAATGTTCACCACTTTCAATAAAATTGTCATACTGTTTATTCTTTCTCCAATTATAGGTATGGAACAGGCTGCTTCTTACTATGTAATACAGGCCGTAAGGTGGGTTTTTTCAAAACAAATGATGGGTGAAAGTCTTCTTTAACTTCATATAAATAATGCACTCAATGATGAATGTCACTAAATTTGAATGGTTCCAGTAAGAACCATTCTAGGTTCTTAGAATTTTATATATGTTTTTATTTATTTATTTTTAGGGGGAAAGGGAGGGAGGGAGAGAGGAAACAAACCATCAATGCGTGGTTGCCTCTCACTCACCCCCATCCAGGGACCTGGCCCTGCACGTTTGTGGGATGAAGCCCAACCCACTGAACCACACCGGTCAGGGCATGGATTATATATATAAATGTTTTTAATTGTGTTGGTGGAATATGTACGCTAGGACCTTATACCTAGTTAGATTTTGGGGGGAGGGGCCTTGTAAGATTCTTAAAGCAAATCTAATTTAGAACAAGGGATAAACTTTTTGTGCTATTTAACTATATTGTTTTTAATACTGTTAATTTTTCTGCAACTTATTTTTTAAATTGTTATACTTATTGAATTATTTTACCCAGGTTATTTTAGCTTAAAAAAACAAAAGCCGTCTTTTTATTTTCCTGACTACTGAAGGTTTTTTCTCTTTCTTATAGTGCGTGTTTTCTGAACATGGCCTTCTGACCACAGTGGCTTACAAACTCGGTAGAGACAAACCCGTATATTATGCATTGGAAGTAAGTACTTTGCAATGTTGACAAACATTCAAAATTAAAAACATCAGAGTGTTTCCGGTAACTTTTAATATATAGGACCGAAAAACCTCAGCCTTCTTGATATCTGGTTGAGTGGAAGGAACCCGGGACCGAGTTGGGGATCAGGACTCCCAAGAGACCTTGAGTACATCGGCTCCTCAGTTCTTTTACCAGTTAACTGTGGGACGTTAACCACTTTGCTATGACTTCGCTGCTTCGCAGTGTAAGATTTTTCCATTTCTAAAATGTAATGAGGCATTGATTTGCTCTAATACTGCTTTCAGCTTAAACATTCTGTTTTTATAACCACAGTGTGCCAGTGTTCCGAAGAGAAACACTGGGCACAGAACGGCAGAGCAGCTCTCTTCATGGGTCTCTCCATGAAAGCAGTTTGTGTCACATTTTGATGTGGGAAACGAAGTGAGAAGATTTACGCCATTTTGCACTGAAAGCATTTGTTTCAAAACATGTTTGTCAATTCTAGTAGGAATGTGTCAGCCTGAGTCTATAGGGCACGGTAAGTGTGTATTAAAAACAGAAGAAACATTTACTTCAAAAGTCAAAGAGGCAGTGTAGTACTCTTTGTAAAATCAGGTACATTCCTTAAAAGCATTTCTTTACAATCAATTTTCAATGGCTCCTTTGTCATATACAATGACCTGAAATATAGTATATGACCTGAAAACTTACTGAGTCTTGTTTCCTAGAGTATCTAATAATAGTTGGCTTAAAAGTGTTAGACTTGCGCCGTGGCTGGTGTGGCACGGTGGACTGAGCGCTGGCCTGCAGGAGGTTTGCCGGTTGGATTCCGGGTTGGGCACCGGGGTGGGCACGTGCCTGGGTTGCGGGCTGGGTCCCTGGTAGGGGGTGTGCGAGAGGTAACCAATGGCTGTTTCTCTCGCACATCAATGTTTCTCTCTCTCTTCCCCCTCCCTTCCCCTCTCTCGAAAAGTAAATAAATACAAAAATTTTTATGAAAAAGTTTTAAAAACTGTTTTTTGTTGAAACATTTTATTAGTTGTTAAGCCTAGAGCATGAGGAATTTTAGGTTTTTTTCTGTTTTTTCTGGCCCTCCCCCTCTATAAGCACTGTAACCTTGGCCCCAATCCCTTTTTTTAATAGATAATAGCATTTGCTCAAACACTTGGACTATGAGTTAAAGGTATCCTAATACTTCTTAGAACTTAAACTCCTCCCAGCCTTCTCTCCCTCGGTTTCCCCCCATAGAAAGTACTCAGTACAGCACTAGGATGAGAGCACTAGGCGCACTGAATATGTAACATTGAACAGCAAGCTGCTCTCTTCTTTCCTCATCAAGGAGACAACCGGTCCTGCAGAGTTATAGATGCCTTAGACCTGAAAAGGGTCTGAGGAATACGGGTTACCTGCCCTTAACTTCCCTCCCAATATGAAAAGCCTTCTCTTCTATCCTCTGTCCATATCCTTCCAACTCCTGTTTGAAGATAACACCATAAACTGCTTCTTACCAACCATCAGACCTAGGTTGGCTGTCGAGAGCATTCAAATACAGGCCGCTTTCAGTTTTTCCGGGTCCTCCTACTCCAGGATAAATTTCCTCTTGCCTGGATGTCACGTGAATTCTACATGCTTTTTAGTTCTGGGCTGCCTTTATTAGATGTATTCCAATTTGCCAGGGACTTCCAGAACAGAGTAGAATATTCCACGTGCAACCTGACCAGTACTCGCTAGAGCGATTTGGGCATCTCTGGCCATAAACACTGCTTTGGCTGATTTAGCCTGAGAGTCATGAATTGAGTCTGATAACTTCTGTCATATCCGTGGGTCCAGGAGCACGTTGAAGTATCTAGCACTTTTCCAAATGAATAATTCCAAGGCCAGTCTGCTTCATTCTGTATTTGCACAGATCTTCTGTTACTCTCAATTCAGGTCTTTGTTTCTTCCTGTTAAATTTCATGATAGTGACTTCAGCGTATACCGACACAGACTGAATTCTTTTTCACTCTCTTCTGTTACTCTTTCAGTTTTGTCTCATCTGGAGACTGAACAAGCATGTGCTTTCTGATTTTGTTTCAGTTCATGTAATTTTGTTCAGATTCATAAAATTGTAAAGCTTAGAGGGTCAGTAGATTAGATAACAATGGGCTTTGCTACACCCTGCTCTCCCCTTGTTTTTACACACAAGGAATCTGAGCGTAGACAAGTGAAACTGAAGTCACTTGGCCAAAGTAACTTTTGACAGTTAGTGAGTAGCTGAGCCAGGAGGCAAATATCCAGGCTATTGGGCTTCACAGTCTAGATGTCGAGGCCACGTCATTGTACTTTCTCCTTCCTCCTTGTAAATCTGAATATTCAGGACCCCAGTCTCCCAAGTCCAGTGTCCTTTTCAGTGCGTTTCACAGAGGTCACTTCCTTAGTCTATTCACCTTGCAACTCAGCCACCACACACACACACACACACACACACACACACACACACACGGCAGTGTAAGACTTGTCCTCATATTTTCTAATTTTTAAAATTAATGAACAAACACTTTAAAAAATTAAACCAAAGTTTAAAAAAAGAGGGCCGGGCTAAAGCCAGATTGGTAAAACTTTTTCTCAGCGAGTTCATGCTAATTGCACTTGGTCACGCTGCTTCCTTTTTTCTCTAAGGGCTTACAAAGGATATATTTAATATTCATTTCTTTGATTGGACGGATTATTGTTAGGCTTGGCAATCTGAGGCCTGAAAATTTTACTTTCTACCCTTCTAGAAAACTGAAACTGTAGCTGTCCATCTTAGTCTTTAATCTTTTTATTCTCTGTCAGCTGATTTGGAAGCAACAAAATGCATTTCTAATTTTGTTGTTGTTGTTTAGGGGTTTTCTTTTGTAATGCCTTTAAACTTTTAAGGTATTATTTAATTACATATTTTCCTAAGAGTGTATAAAGCTGTTTAGTATTTTTAACCTTCCAGCCAAGATGGGGGCCTTGAATGCTTTACCACCCCCCGCACCGCACCTCCACCAGCAACCATGTTAATTGCATTTAGTTTTCATTTCCCTTTTTTCTTAAACATGCAATAATTAGTTCTATTTTCCTTTCTGGTCTATAGTAAATCTACTTTACAAGAGTCCGAGATGATGGGTAAAAAATCTTAGATTAACAATGGTTTGTTTTCCTACATCCCCTCTGGCCACTTTTGATGCTGATGAGACCTCTGCCACTCTGATCTAACTGGTTCCTTTGTAGATAATCTTGTTTATTGTCTAAGATTTAAGATTATCTCCTTATCATTGGCTTCTCTAGTGTTGGATTTATTTTTACTTATTCTGTTAAGTGCTTGGATACAAGTCTGTCTTCAATTTTGTAAAGTTCTCAGCAATTATCTCTTCAAATCTTGCTTCTCTACCATTACAGTCATTCTCTTTTGAAATTGCTATTGTATGGAAATTGGAACCTTTCACCCCACCCTCCCTGTCCCTTACCTGCCCTTTTGTAATTTTTAAGTCTCTTTGTTTCTTTGATCTTATATTCTTGTTGAGTTTCTCAGTATCCACATTATGTTTCCAAATTCTCTCTTTAAAACAAATTAAACAGAACCAAACCTTTTTTATTGTGAAAGATAAGACACATACAGAAAAATGTGTGAAATATCATGTACAGCTTAACCAATTATTCTAAAGAGAATAATCCAGAAACCTCACCCAGGTCAGGAAACAACACTGTCAGCATCCAGGAACCCCTCGATCACAGCCTCCTCCCTCCCCTGCAGGCAAGCACTGCCCTAACTTTTCTTATAATCACTTCCTTACCTTTTTAAAAATTGTTTTCCGGTATACAACCCAGTGACTTGACATTATATAACTTACTGAGCGACTCCTGCCCATCTGACAGCATGCATAGTTATTAGATTATTTCCTTACTTTTCTTTATAGTGCCAACTCAAATGTGCAACCCTGAGCTAAGCATGAGAGATTAGTTTTGCATGTTTTTAATATACTATATATTTAAAAAGTAAGAGAAAGAGAAGAAAGCAAAAGAGACTGGGTCATATGGTATGTATTCTTCAATCTGGCTTGTTTTATTCAGCATTGTATTTGTGAGATTCATCCATGTTATCAAATATAGCTATTGTTTCATTTTCTTATCATCATATGAAAATACCACCAGCAGTAAATGGTACACTAATTTATTTATCATCTCTATTCTATAGTTTACCCCATCTATTACAGTTTTAAATTTCACTCAGTAGTTTCATTTCTAGGATTTAAAAAAAAAGACTATTTATTTTTAGAGAGAAGTGAAGGGAGTGAGAAAGAGAGGGAAGGAAACTTCCATCAGTTGCCTCCTGCATGTGCCCCAACCCAGGACCTGGCCCACAACCCAGGCATGTGCCCTGACCAGGAATTGAACCAGCAACATTTTGGTTCGCAAGCTGACGCTCAACCCATAGAAACACACCAGCCAGGGCGATTTCTAGGATTTTTAATTGGTTATTTTCCATATCCACCTGATTTTGTTTTATTTCCTTTTTATTCCTAATTTCATTTTTTTAAAAATGGAAATCATACCTTAATTTATTTCTTTGATTTCTTTTAGCATATGCTTATTTTAAAGTCTTTGTCAGACTGGAGTGAATTCTATTCGAACTGTTAACTTTTTTCGCTGATGTCTTAAAAATAGATTTCTTGTATTTTAATTTTCCCTTCCTGTCTCTTCTTCCATTAAGCTGTAGCCTTAGTCAGCAAGTAGACAGTTGCTTGTTTGCAAGCATCCCTACAATGGTAGGAGAGCGCCACCTAGCTGCCGGCTTCAAGCACTAAAGCTGATTCTGTTCCTTGTCTTACACCAAACATTTTGGATCCCTTCCTTCCAGAACAGCCAGTTTCCAGCCACCACTCCTGCTCCCTGACACATATACAGAAATTAATCAGAACTCATCATGCTTGCCCTGGCCAGGTAGCTTAGCTGGCTAGAGCATTGTCCTGATACAGTAAGGTTGAGAATTCTATCCT